CATTGGCAGACATGGGCCACAGGGAAGGTTGCAATGAAGGCCACAGGGAAGGTTGCAAACACTCCATGCCATTTGACAAAGAAGGATGCAACCTAGACATTATGGGGAAACACATCTATTTTTTAATTTCATATCATTTCTATAGCACCCAATAGCCAAAAGGCTCTCTGGGCAGTTTACAGAATTAAAAAAGAACAGATAACAAAAACAAATCAATGCATAATAATCAAACACAACCCCAAATAAAATGGTGACAATAGGCCCACAGCAACTGTAAGCAAATTTGTTCAGAGGTCCAGCAGCATTGCAAGATGTAATATAGTATAAAGCTTGTAAAATACAGTATAAAATATAGTCCTCATTAACAGCCTTGTTGCCCTTTTGGAAGTCAATTCAAGTCTCCTGACAATTTTCAAAGGCAGCCCCATGTAAAGCACATTGCAGCAATCTAAACGAGAGGCAACTAGAACATGGATCACTTTTTCTAGGCTCTATATGTCCAGATAGGATCATAGTTGTATATCAGCCTCAGTTGTTAATCTGTTCATCCTTTGCCCTAGAACTCTGGGTGGCCAATTACCAGGCCACCGTGGCAAGATACCAGCTTTTTTCCTGGGAAAAAGTCAAATTCCTGTGTGACTATCTGCCAGAAGACCAGAGGGAACTTGCCATAATCTTTCAATATGAAGTCACTCGCATCTCCTGATCAATACCACGAACCACCAGGTGGACTGTGGTGTGAAGGCCATGATTGATTCTGTAGCACTACAGAGGCATGCATAGCTGTGCTTTTCTGGTCTGCTGCAACAAACCCAAGGCTGTATCAAAGACCTGACATTTGGAAGGAATGAGCTCTTCAATACAAAGGCAGAGGAAGATCATACTGAAATGTGATCTCGATGTGTGTGTGTGGGGGGGAGGGGGCGGTGTTGGTAAATCCTCATCCTCCTTGCCTTAGCCCATACCTTCTGGATGGAGTCTGTGCACCGATGTGTTATGCACAGGGACGATAAAAAAGGAAAGACAATTACAGGTTGTTTACCTGTAATTGTTGTTCTTCAAATAGTCATCTGTGCATTCACACAGCCTACCTACTGACCTCTTTTTAGTGTCACTTTCTAACCATTTTCTGTATTGACTAAGGTTGATGACAGTCAAACTGATCATTCCTTGGTTGAGAGGCTGCAAAGACTGTCTGTAGTAACTGAAGGAATAGATCGTAACTCCTTCTGTATATACTGAGGTGGTTAGGAGTTCCAACCAAAATGCATTCAGCAACGAAATCTTCCCCAGAACAGGCTCCACTCAGATGCAGAGCCCATAAGTGTGAATGCACAGGTGTTCACTCAAAGAATGACAGTCCAGCTAAGCAATCTAACTTTTGTTTCCATTAATTGTAAATTCAGCCATATTCCCCTAAATTTTAAATTCAGCAGGCAGAGTGATCATCTTAAATACACAGCATTTAACTCTTCTTCTCAGTATTCCAAGAGCAATGTTAAATGTATGGGCCCCACAGCAAAACGTGGAAAAGATACTCCAGAGACATGGGTAACTGCTTCTCTGGTCAGCCTCATTTCCAGCCCAGGTGTTTCCAGGGGAATCTGGGCTACCCAGGTTTGCTCGAGGTTGGTGAGATCTTAGCAGGCAGAGCAGAACAAGTACACTATTGCAGGGTTCTCCCTGTTCCACAAATAACTGGGACATCTTTTGTTTAAGGATATTTTATTTGTTTTAGTTAATAAAAATATTTTATTTGGCAATAAACAAGGTTAAAAGTGTGTTAATCAGTAAATATATGTCTTCATAAAACAATACTGCTTTTTTCTTTTTTTAGATTACCTGGCCTTTTGGAAAATTCGCTTGCTGAAATTAAAACTCAGAGAAGACATATGTGTTGGGTACCAGAGACAATAATAACGCATTGTAACAGGCAGAGTATTAGCTCCTTGGGAAATACATTCCCCGAAGGTTGCATTTTTATTTTATTTATAATAAATATTATCAACTCTATGGTGCTTAAAAAAACTTCAGCTATTGGGCAGCATAGAGATGAGATGAAGAAAATGTTAAGCAAGTTTCCTTTTAAAAAATCAATGTTTAACTTTGTATATTTTCTTTGTTTTGTATTAGCTATTAATCTAAGTGATGGAGCTGCCAAGCAAAGAGCTTTCTCTTCAATATTTGAAATGACTTCTTCAGAGTTGAGAAACAAGCATCATTGCAATGGAGATAATGTAGAGTTGCAGCATAATGAAAACAAAACACCAGCAAAAAATCACAACATAAACAGTGCAGACTCATGGAACACTTTTAAGCATATGGATAAAGAAATATCAAAAAGTAGCAGAAGAAAAAACATTTCCAGTAAATCTGAAATATCACTTAATGCAATGAAAATGAATGACACTTCTCTAGAAAATTCAAGGCACTTAAAATTAGTTATTGAAACCAATGAAAATGCTAGCTTTGATGTATCATCTTCTGGAAAGAAAACTGCCAATAAGAAAACTGATCAGGTGAAATGTTAAAAGGCAAAGCAACCTCAGAGTTACTATTCTGTGCATTCCAATCAGGAAAACTGCCTCCAGAGAAACATTTAAGCACCCTTCCCATATGCTGCTTTGAGATTAACCTCTCTGTCTACATCTAACAGGTGGTGGAAAGAACCATGGCAGGGAAGTTGCCACTTTCTAAACTTTGTTGGCTCATGACCGCCAAGGCAGAAGATTGGTAGGGCTACCAGTTTTCCCATGGTTCTGGTTCCCATTGCCTCCAATGGGTGGAAATGTTCTATGTCACCTCCCAGGCTGGTCTAGAATCATAGAATAGTCGAGTTGGAAGGGGCCATAAAGGCCATCGAGTCCAGCCCTCCGCTATTGCAGGACACCATGTTATACCATCCCACTCAGATGTCTGACCAGTTTCTTTTTGAATGTCTCTAGTGTGGTAGGGCCCACCACCTCTCCAGGCAGCTGGTTCCACTGTTGTATTGCTCTGACAGGAAGCTTTTCCTGATGTCCAGCCCGAATCTGGGTTGTCACAACTTGAATTAATTATTCCATGTCCTACACTCTGGCATTGGCAAGAAGAAATCTTGACTTTCCTCTTTGTGACAGAAAGGCTTAATGAGAGAAGGGACATAGAAAAACAACTTACAGCATTACTATCCTATGAAAAAGTAGTGCCTAGACATAAAAAGCAGCATAAGGCAGCCAGTCAGAGCTCAGTGGGCTCCAATACAGCAGCTGATAGGCAGAACAGGATAGTAGAAAATGCAGATAGGATCATCTGCTACAGCCATAGTCTTGCCACTAACCTCTATGGAAGAAATAGGGAAGCATTATAATTGGGTCAGACTACAAAACAAGTCATAGTGAATTGTGGAAACCTTACAACACGCTGTATTTCTCTGCATGGCTTCATGGAAACCAAACATACTACACTATGGATGCTGTATTTAGATGTAACAGCAAACTGCCCGTGTGGTTTTCACTGACTTTTTGTTATGTGTGAATCCACCTGTCATGTGAGCCTAGCCATGGTACTGGAGAAAGGAGACTAGAATATGGTAAAAGTGATAGCAAAACCTCCTGTGGTTGCAGGGGGCTTTGTGCTATTGTCAGGATAAAAGTGGACATGGAATGGAAGGTTAAAAGAGTGAGGACTGTAGAGCAGGGGAAAGAATCTTGTCTCGAATCTAAACCAGGAGTACAGAATATTTGGTCCTCCAGGTGTTTCTTGACTCCAGCTCCAGCAAATGTAGGCAATGATCTGAGATGATGGGAGTTATAATCCAGTAACATCTGGAGAGGCACAGGTTCCCTGCCTCTTGACCAGATTCTGGCAGAGAAGTTGTGCCTTTAAGAATGGCATAGAATAAGAATTCTGCTAGTTGTGGTTTCTGCTGTCACATAGTGTTACACTTTGTCAATCCAAAGACAAAAGCTGGGGTTCAGTAGGGATTGTGGTGGAGTTCAGATGGAAATTGAATTACACAGAGTGATTTCATGGTGATCACTCCTGTTCTTTGGCTCTAGACCTCTAGTATTCCTTATTAATAGCTGTGTTAATAGCTATATACTTATCAGCATTTACACTTTACTAAAAATCATAAAACCTAGAATAGTAGGGTTGGAAGGGGCCAATAAAACCAAGTCCAACTCTCTGCTCACAGCAGAACTCCAAGTTAAAGCATTTCTGTCGAATGGCTGTCCAGATGTATCTTGAATGTCTCCAGTGTGGTAGAGCTTGTGACTTCCCTAGGTAATTAGTTCCATTTTCATATCGCTCTAATCTGTTCAGGAATCTGGCTTCTTGCAACCATTACTTCATGTCCTACCCCCTGGGGTGATCAAGTGGAGATCTTGGGCCTCTTCTTCCTGACAACCTTCCTGACAACAGTACTATCATATCTTCCCTCAGTCTTCAGGCTAAACATAACCAATTCTTCCAGTCTTTCTTCACAGGGCTTTATTTCCAGTCCCCTGATCACCTTTGTTTATCTACCCCGAACCTTTATCAATTTGTCTGCAACTATGTTAAAGTGTGGTGCCCAGTTTAAAGCTATAGACCTAGGCAGCACTGGATTATGAGAAGGAGAAGCTTGCTTATAGCTAGATCCTTTTAAAGTTTTAGAATGAGCATGTCAGTTCTACCTAGATTGTTTTGGTACAGCCATGTGCAAGCTTCTTGCCCAATTGCCTAAAGGCTATTTAGGATTCTGGCTGAAATTCTTCTCTGTTAAATTCAGTATCATAAATAGAAATGGCTTAAGCAGGGTAGAAATTCCCCGTATATAATAAGCATTGTTGTGTTTTTCCCCCCATTTAGATTCTTAGTGGGGTGTAGAGGGGAAGCCACCTGCATTGGTTAAGGATTGTATTAGAAATTTACATTAGAAAGCTTTGATTTTCAGAATTATTTTTCAAAAACTGTATTAGCTTGCTTGTCATATGTTCTGATATATTGAATACATTATGTCCAAAATCTTTCAGAAAAGGAAATCAAAGGAAAAGGATGCAGCAGCAGAATTAATAAGTAAAATCAGCAACAGGTATAAAGACAGGTATGTTGACAATTGTACAAGAATATTGTGCCAGCCCCCCCCCCCCCGGTGTGTGTGCATGTTTATATTCTACTTTTCTCCCATTGTGGAATTCAAGGTGGCTGTATGAGGTTCCCAAGTGATCTGCTCCCCAACTCCAAGCTCAGCCCAGCCCAACCTACTTAGCTTCAACATGGTGGATACCTTATGTGCCTTCAGACCATACTTTGGGCCATATGTATGTGTCTATGTTTCAGTGGGTTTCCATATAATTGAACCCTTTGCAGCTGTGAAGGCATTAAGAATGGAAGTAGCTATACAGTGTCACAAGAACGTAGGTACAGAGAACTGAATGGTCCTGCCTCATTCTAACCCACCCTTTCAAACAACACATATAAATATCAGTATAAAAGATAAAGCCTAACAGTCTGAGTAACTTCAATTTATTAGCCAGAAGCATGAAACATTTCTAGTGGGAATAGGCCATCTCAACAAAGTGGTACCACATTGTGATTGCCTTAAACTAGGGCTGTACTGAAGGTTAGCAAAGCAAATATTGAGAAATCAACACTGCCTTCAAATGCCTGCTTTTTCTGTGCCTTTTGGCTGTCTCTCTCTGTAGATGATTTGGCTGCATTTTTGTTAAGAATATAGTTCTCCTGCTGGCAGCATGATCCTAGCTGATTGGGGATCTTATTGGCCATGTGGAGCTGAAATGATGCCATATTATTAATAAGTCATGAGGTACCTGATAATTTCATAAAGATAATTCAGAGTCTGGGCAGTAAATAATGCTTTCACACTTATTGGGGAAATGATTTTTACCCTGTTTCAAATTTTAAAAAATCTAAATCAAAGATGATACTTTTAGTAGAAGGTTTTTGCATAGCTCTCTACCCTTTTTGGTTCAACTCTAGTGTAAATGATTCAGTAGCAATTCTAAATGAAATTATGATACATTCTTATTTCTAACTTCAGCTGTCATACACTGCAGAAGTCATATGAAATCCAGCACTACACACAGAATTCTGTGGTGGGGGGGAGTTGTTTTCTATTTTGCACTATACCACAAAAATAGATTTTAGTGATAGTGCAAAAACAAGAATTCTGTGTGGGCCATTGGCTTTCATGTAGGCTTTCATCAAGATCACAGATGCTATTTCACTACTCAAACCTGAGCGCATTGGATCCCGTTCAGAGCCACTGTTGTGTGGTGGTTAATAGTGCAGGACTGGGACTTGGAAGATCTAGATTCCAGTTCCATGCAGTCATGGAGCTAACTGTGTGACTTCAGGCCACTTACAAAGGAAGAAGAGATTGTGTAAACCACCTTGAGTTCTTTGAAAGGCAAAAAAGTGGGTTATGAAAATAAGAAATAAATTACAAAAATGATAAAATAACGTTTCAGATTCAGTGAGTTACGTTTACTGCACACTATTGCTAAACTATGGGATAGAATGGTAGTAAGTGATACTTTTACTGTTTTTTGGTGCCGTGGCACCAAACCTATGTCACATTGTATTGATAATGCAATTTATTTTGCAAGTAATATACTTAGAACAGTAGAGTTGTATGGCTTTAATTTCAGCGATGTTACTTAATTCCTCTAAAATATATCAAAACAATTATTGCTTTGCAAATATGTGTTATATTTTACCTATTTTTCTTGTAGGACATCCTTAAATCAGTCTAGCTTCAGTGTTAGCCAGGTATGTTCTTTTCCTCTATATGAGCAACTTAGGTATATGTTTTGGGCTTAAACTCCCATACATAGATTAGAACAAAGTATACATGGTTTTCCAAACCCACCCAGGCTGTAGACCCAGCTTATCCTTGATGGGGAGAAAATCTAAATAAGGATCTCCTTTCTTCACCCTCTCAGGCTCAGCACAAAGCTTGCTGGCAACAGCAACTTTGGAGGTGGGTTGGTAAGAGACCAGACAAGGAGAGATGTAGATATATTGGATGCATGAGACTCTCAGTCACTTGTCTTAATCACTAACGGGTAAGGAAGCTAGACAGGATGAGATTCTGTCTAGCTCCAAATAATTTTTAGTTGCAAGTATCGCAATGGGTCCTTGCTCATAGGATCAGATCACACCAATCCTTCCATAGCTGTGCTGCTTATTGGTCTGCTTCTGGACACAACTCATCTTTATTCATTTAAGAACATAGGAAATGCCATGCTGGATCAGACCAGTGGTCCATCTGGTTCAGCATTCTGTACACATGGTGGCAAACCTGCTGCCTGCAGGAAGGTTAGATGCGAGACCTCCTCCTGTCCACTTCCTAAGCAACTGGTATATGCAGGTATGCCTTCTCTAGTAAAGGAGGAAGCATATAGCCAGCAAGGCTAGTAGCCACTGATAGCCTCCCTCTTTTATTTATTATATTTATATTCTTTTTTCCTTTCATGGAACTTAAGGCAACTTGCATAATTCTCCTCTTCTGCATAATCATGTTCTTGCAATAACAACAACCCTATGAGGTAGGTTGGGCTGAGGGTCTGTGACTGGCCCAGTCACCCAGTGAGCTCCATGGCTGAGTGGGAGCTAAAACCCAGATCGCCTGAGTCCCAGACCCATATTCTTAAGCACTGCACCACACTGGCTCTTTTTAAAGCCATACATCAACTTTCTCTAAGAGCTCCCTCCAAATCTTCCATAATTCCTAGCCAGCTTTGGAAAGGCTGCCCTATACAGCTTACCTTGGTGACTGTCTTCTGTACCATCGGCACCAGGCGAAGACCTTTTTATTTAAACGTCATTTTAATTGTTAACAATATTTGCTTATTTATCTGGCCAGGGCGACTTCTTTTATATTGTTATTTATTTTATATTGTTAATTTTATATTGTTATTTTTGTATTGTATTGTATTTTATTTGTGTTGTGAGCCGCCCCGAGGCTTCGGCAAGGGGCGGCATAGAAATGTTTTAATAAATAAATAAATAAATAAACACCATCCTTCCCACTGAGAAGGAAAGCCCCTTCCCAGTAGCTGCATCCTGATTACAGAATGCCTTGCAGTGTGACATTCAGTTGCCCATGACTCCCTTGCTATTTTTTGCCAGTTCATGACAGCCATTTAGTACTGCAGTCTTTTGTTTTACATTTAGTTTGGAGTAGGTTGCTTTATATAATTGTGAAATCATTATTATTAAATGATGCAAGCTGTCCATAATAGTGCTTTGAAGTGGGGTATCAATATTTTAAGGAATATTGAATATTCCTTATTTATATAAATATTTATATAAGTCACTTTTTGGACCCATGTCGGAAAATTGTAGCCCTCCAGAATTTTTGACCTATAAAATCCATGGTCCCTCACCACTGGCTATGTTGGCTGTAGCTGATAGGAACTGAAGGCCAAAACTCCTTAAGAAAAACAAGTTGTCTACCACTACTTCAAACTGACAGATGTAAGTTCTCTGGCCATCTAAAACCTGCAGACAGGATAGGTAGAACAACAGAGATGAAAATGCCTTCTGCCCCATTTAACATTATTTTAAGCTAGACAGAATTTCAGCTTGTCGAGTTTCCATATCTCTTAGTAGCTGAGACAAGTGATCAAAGTCTTGTGGCTCTAACATATATACATTTTTCCATGACTTGCACTGTTTTGTCCCTCTCTTTCCACTGAGTCTGGAAGGATACAGTAGCAAAATTTTTTCCCAGATTTCCCCCCTTCAAGATCATAGCTGTATTTACAGTCTTGGGGGAGATGGGAAAGCCATACATTTGTAAGTTTGCTCTGTGAGTTGCATTGAACTAAAAGAAGTCACAACTGCTTTTCTAATTGTTCTTTTATGCCTAGAAGAAAAATAAGAACAGAAGTTTTAAAAATTTGAAAACTACTACTCTACTTAACATAACTACTGAACAGCTTGTGTAAGTAAACATGAATCTTGTACATGTCTGAATATATATTTCAGTATTAAGAATCCACTAAATAAAGCTTTATTTCTTTTGATAGGGATGATGTCTACAATTTCAGCCTAAGTGGATTTGATGAACCTACAATAAAGCTTGGAGTAAGATTACAGTTGTAACAAATAATGTGAAAATAATTGTAAAGTGATAATTTTCAACAATGTGATCACATTAGGTAGAGGTGTGGCAGCCCACATTGAGCAGCAAATTTGGAGTTAGAACCAGAAAATGGTCATTCACTTTATTATATTTTGGCCACCAAGCATGTGTCAAATCTCAGGCTACAAGAAGAGTTCTAAAACTTTCTCAAAAAAGAACAGTTTGGAGAGAAGAAACAGTAGCTGATGTAAAGAATGCCATTTTCACATTATTGTGCCCAGATTTTTCATTATGTGTTATAACTAAGGACATTTTGACATACAGTATGTTAGATTTCTTTTAACTTTATTATTAAGCATGCTTTCCATACGTTGATCATTTTAGCTATAAACTGTGTATTTTGTCATCTGGCACATGTATTCCAAAGATGAATGCCTAATTTTAATGGAGAAATTTCCTACTGAAGACATTTGGTACTGCAGAAATTTGTTATTGTAGAAGTACTGCAGTAGAAACTATTCAAAATGTATATTTGAAATTCTATACATTGCTATAGCTTTGTGGAAGTAAACTTTTGATTAATGGTGCATATGGAAAAATAAAGCATTTGTAGTGTTTCCCATGTAGTTACAATTTGATTAACTGCTTATGATCTTTTGTAGAACTGTAAGTCTGCCTTTGCAAATTTCATTTTGTTGCTATGTGCCATCAAGTCATCTCCAGCTTAGGGCCAGTCTATGAATGAATGCCCTCCAAAATGTACTCTTTTTGATTGCCCTGCACAGCTCTTATACATTCCTTTATAAAACTGATCCCTTTCATAGTCCATGCTTTCTTAGGTGACATAATCTTTATGAATAGGGTGCATAAATCAGTTGCAAGAAGAATTGTAATGCTTCTTTTGTTTTTTATATTTTATGCTTTTACATTTTAGTTTCAAGAAGTTCACCTTTCTAAAATGCAAGCTACCACAGATCTTCCTAAGAAAATGTAAGCATGTTCTTTCTATCAGTGGGATGACAAAAGTCATTATAATATAATTGGATGATAGTAAGACTGTAAGTACAAATCCTTATGCCAACATATTAGAAATGAAATCCCCAATATTTAAAGTGGTTCATTTCCCATGCAAGAAGACAAAAAGTAAATTCATCTAAGTAGAACATTTCCTTCAGTTCTAACTGACAACATAAATTGTTCCTTATTTGTTCCAGGAATCATGAAAATGAAGTCACATATACAGTCCAAAAGAAACAAGATAAGAAGGTACTTAAAAGAGAGAATACTTAGTTTAAAAATAAGACTATATTGGACTTTAAAACTTCTTCCCTTCCTCATGAGGGACACTGCCAGAATTCCTCAGAATATTGCCCCCACTACCACTCCCATACACTGACTCTCAAACAGTCTTCTGTCTTTGAAATCTAGTTGGCATAGAAATAACTATTTTAACTGTCCAGGCAAGATGAGGACCCAACGTTGGAATCCCAACCTCAAACTTGGAAGGTATTTCCAAGGTCAGATCTGGGGCTGTGACTATTCTGACCCAGAAAATTTCAAGAGGCTGTAAGATTGTATCCTTACAGTGTTGCTTTGGTGCTACACAAACACCTGAGAAGCCATTTACAACCCTTTTTGTTCTCTCTCCTCATCTGCCTCTCCCCCACTTTCTCCTCCCCTCTGCCCTGCCACCTCTCTCACAAGCATGCACTCACATGCATCCCTACCAACTGAGGAAAGCCTCTCTCTCATCTGATGGTGGACTGCAATCCTCAGACAGTAAAACTGGCTTTTAAGCTGTGATCAGCCTATCCTCTAAGCTTTTGCCTCTTTTTCTCAGGCCAAATATGAAGAAAGTGTAACGTGTGAAACTGCAAAAGTAATACCACAAAAATTCAATCCCCAGTTCCATTCCAGCTATATTAGTCATGATTATTCCCTATTAACAGCAGCAGAACTTAAACCAGTTGCTACTAATTTGTTTGATGTTGTTTTGTTTAGCAATTCAATGATAACTAATTTAGTTTGACTCCTGTAAATCAAATTGCAAATAAATTGTTTATCAGTGTTCTTATTTTATAGAAAAGAACAAGTAAAAGCAAGAAGTACCTTTTTAGTGACACAGACACAGAATACAGAGGTGATGACACAAGGACAGATATTAGCTGGCTAAAGGAATCAAATAGAAAACCTAAACCTCAGCTAGTCGACTACAGCAGAAACAAAAAACAAAAGATATCTACAACTCTAGAAGCAAGTAAGAAAGTTACTTATTACCAAGATTAAAAGTGTGATTTTTGCCCATATAATTTGCACAACAAAAAACTACCCCAGGTGTGCAATCTTAAATGTTTTGATATTCTGCTTTCTTGCGGATTTTCTGTGTGGTATGCTTATGGAGTTTTCAACCTATTTTAGCCATTGGGCACCTTTGGAATTTTGAAAAAGTTGGCCGTTGTGTTGCATGTGACCAGGCAGAAAACACTGGTTTCACAGAAGGACAAAAGGTGAGGCTAACAGGCATCTACACCAAGAATATAAATATAGAGCAGATGTGAGGTTTGAGCCTGGAAATACAAAGTCATTCTTCTGAACTCACATTTCTCTCTCTTGTCCAGAATCACCCCCAAATGTGACAGACTCCCTCCCTCTGTCTCTCTCACACACATACACAACCCACCTCATACACTCAGCTTTCTTGCTTTCACCACATCCTTTGGGTTACTTTGTAGGCCTGCCTAACCCCACCCTAGCCCTGGTCTTTCCTCTTCTTCCTGTTGCATTTCACACCTATGCAGCCCTCACCAGTAACTTTTTAAAACCCTCCTTTTAATGCAAGAAATTTGGTCTTTTTAAAGGTTTTGTTCAATTAATAAACTTATGTGTGTCTGAAGTTGCCAGCTTTCCCTTGGTAATGTGTTGAGATGTGTCTGTTGTGAAAGTGCACAAGGAATCCACTATATGTATTGCCCTAGAAAGGCTGCCAGGAGCTTTATTTTTCACTTTGCCTTCTTTTAGCAGCTGCCAAAAGCTGACTTGCCAAAACAAACAAAAGTTATAAGTAATCTTTGTTCATAAAGGAGGGGGTGCCAGGAGGGGGTAGATTTGGCAGGGGGATGATGTTGCCTGTGGATTTTGTTTTATTTGAACCTGTCTCTTGTTAGGTTCCTTGCACTTTTCCACCCTTTCTCAAGATTCTAGGTGCTGGTGGAACAGTATAAGCCATCCCCTTTTTTTGGGAATAAAACAGGCAGTTGTTCTTGGCACATTTCAGGACTGAGGTGGCACAGACCCTTCAAATAGGGATGATGAGCCCTGGGAAATATGTCCTCCGCAGATGCTAGTGACAGAAGAGCTTATTTCATGGCTGTTCTTTCCAGGATTTAAGAAGGGTTCTCAGAAGTAGTTGCTAGTTTGGGTTCAACACACTGCACAGTGCAAGCTCAGAGACACTTTCTTTGCTGGTTATAGTTTGTCAGACGTACATTGAAGAATAAAGAGCTTTGAAAGAGAATGGTCTATTATTTTGAAAGAGAGAAGGGGGAAACTTTGCCCGCAACCCCTTTTCTGGCATCACAGAGCTTAGCAATCTAGCCGTCAAAACTCTAGTTCCTTTTTAAAGGGCATTTACTTTACTTTACTTTACTTTACTTTACTTTACTTTACTTTACTTTGGGAGTTTTGTTTTGTTTTGAGAGAGCCACTCATGGTTTTTAATAGAGACAAAGCTGTTCTTGCATATTGATGCCTACATATCTGTCATAAAAACATGAATAGCCCCATCAAAAACTCCTTTTAAAGGATTTAGGATCAGGATAAGACCTAGATGGCAAATGGATGTATTCTGTAATGAATATTGACCTTTTTAGATAAATCAGCAGTGTCACCAAGCAGGAAAGAAACATTCCAAGAAAAGAAAAACATAAATAAGAAGGTACAGTAAAATACTAATATAATATCTCTTAAAAGCACTAAGATTGAGTTTTCTTGTATGGGCAAATAGTTAAATATTTTCATCTCTCCAGCTAAGTCCATTTAATATGATATGTAGTTTAGAGAGTTGCTGTTTAACAAATATGTAAAAGGTAAAGGTTTCCCCTTGACATTAAGTCCAGTCATGCCTGACTCTAGGGAGCAGTGCTCATCTCCGTTTCCTAGGCAAGGGAGCCAGCGTTTATCTGCAGACAATCTCCATGGTCATGTGGCCAGCATGACTAAACACCGAAGTGCAGGGAACGCTGTTACCTGCCCACCGAAGCGGTACCTTTTTATCTACTTGCATTTGCATGCTTTCGAACTGCAAGGTTGGCAGGAGCTGGGACGGAGCAACGGGAACTCACTCTGTTGTGCAGATTCGAACTGGCAACCTTTTGATCAACCAGCCCAGCAGCACAGCGGTTTAAACCACTGCGCCACCTGCAGTCCCTAAGAAATATATACTCAGGTTCAATTCTTGTTTTGGTTTTTATTTATTGTCCTTGCTTTCTAAAATGCCGCAAACCATTTATCCAGTTGTATGCATACCAGGACCATAATAGCTTCAGTTTCCCAACTGACAGTTTTCTGTTGCAAACTGGTAGACCTAACTTTATGTAATTTAAGAAGTTTTCCAGTGAGCAGTGATAAGCGAGTCCAATCACAACCCCTGAATTTTATTTTGTAAGCTACTTTGAGCTTCCTACTAAGCACATGAGGTGAATATATTTAATTAATTGATTAATCATTGGTCATGTATTAATGTTACATTCAAGATATTGTTTTGTTTTCCTAAAGACACCTGTTTCTAGAAATCAACATGATCATGGTGCTGAGAAAAAAGCACAGTCAACCAGATCTAAACAACCCAGAAGAGCAGCATTAGCAAAGAAATGTTATAGAGAACTTTCAACTTCAGAAACAGAGAGTGAAGAGGAATATTCTGAACACTTAATTAAGAAAAGCACCTTAAAGGAACATGTAAACATTTTGTTTTATTTTTTGCAGTAGCATAAAAAATTCTACTTGAGTT